GGGCAGACCCAGCAGGTGCCATGGGTCGACTGACTGTGATGACTGGCTGATCCACCACCTGTGCCCCCTACTGTGTCAACTTGCTGTGCTTTAGCCACCCGGCGCTCCACTCGTTGTTGTAAGCGTCGCTCCTCCGCCCTCCGTTGTTGCTGGAGGGCGACTGCCTCAATCTGCCCAGTAGCGTCCTTCACGAGCCTCTTCCACAGAGGCCGATCTTGACACCGCTGGTACCAGTCATCGGCAAGTCCACTCAGCTCCACATCCTGCTGTACCACATCACTCCATCTCTTCTCTAGCCCGTGCCGCGTCCGTTTAGCCCCCTCGATCCGACCAAACAAAATATATTTTAGGCATGCGGTGGCTGGGCATTCGAGCTACATGACCAAACCAACGCAGCCTTGCCTGCCGGAGGAGCTCACCGATGGGACTTTGCCAAGATATTTCAAGGATTTTTGAGCTCCTCACACAATCCAGCCTGGTTAAACCCAGGATGGATCATAGGCAGGCCAGCCTAGATGTTTCTAACCGGCAAGTTGACCATCACCACTCCTTGCGTCTGGTTGATGGGAAAGCGAGCCCAAAGTAGCCTGGGGTTTACAGCTTCCCACACCTCACCGCCACGCTCCCACGCCCCCTTCATTCTTTTGTTCAGAAGAGCCACTCCCTGTTGTTTGGCAGTCTCCTGCCCCGAGTCAAGGACTGTCCACCCCTCATTGTGGCTGGAGCCGGTCCACCGGACCGCCTGAATACCGCAGCGATCCAGGCGGTACCGGTCCAGCTCCCGACAGAGGAGTGGCAGCCTCTCCTCCGCAGTGAGCGTTCGAACATTTCACGTGGCCACACGCAATGACTTTTCATTGTTTCTGGAGGAGCCCCGAGGGTAAAGATTCAATCTCCTGGCTCCGCCAAATGGGGTCTGACCAGGAGACGTCACAGACGCCTGTTTCCCCCGGGACCTTCGTCACAAGCTTAATTCGAATTTCAACTCGTGTTTTAGTGGCACTCGTGTTGAAGGTGGAGGGGTTTCCAGCCCCTCGCACCTGCCCAGAGCCCCACGTTGGCCGCTGTTGTGGTGGCTACAAACGCCACGAAAGGAAAAAAGCCAAGTGGAATTGGCCGTTCTCCCCATGCTTTTGCTCGCTTGCACCCACAGCGTTAGAGTCTAGCATCACCGAGGAGTTAGGGGATTCATCTTCTTGGTTCTTTCGGTAAAGTCACCACGTAGAAGGGAAATAATAAAATAATAAAAAGAAAACATAATTAAATAATTCTCATGACGTTTCGGCCACAACGCAAGCAGCCGTTTTCTTTTTTCTTTCTTTCTCCATTCTTCACCTGAGGACGGCTGCTTGCGTTGTGGCCGAAACGTCGTGAGAATTGTATTTTATGATGTTTTATTTTTATTATTTTATTATCTCCCTTCTACGTGGTGACTTTACCGAAAGAACCAAGAAGATGAATCCCTGCAGTCACGAAAGCTTTAAATCGAAGTTAGGGGGCTGCTTTGACACAGAGATAGATTTACAGATAGTCCCCGATCTTACGATGGCGATACGACAAAATGGTTAAATATTTCAAATTTCGCGCGGCAGGCAAACGCAGCAGGGTACGAATCTTGGTGAGTACAGTCCAATATGATACGTTACATTCAATGCATGTATGATACGTAGCTTTAGCGATTTCATTCTAGGGTTACCACGATACGATACGTTCAATGGATGTTAAAAGTAATTTTTTTATATAGCAGATAGGATTGTTTCCTAAAAAAACTTTCTATTAAATTGCAGTTCAAATAGGTAGGCTAAGAATTTACCTCGTTTTTTTACTTTACATTTCACTGTGCAATACAGTATTGTAGTTAATAAATACATACAGTATATAGTTTACACAGTACGCTACTGCAAATTGCTCTGTTTTGCTAAATTATCAGCATTCTTTAAGACTCCTGGGTAGGCTAGGCCATCTTCGACTTACGGTTACTGAGGTGAGTGGGTGGGTGGGTTTCTTGAGTGGGTGGGTGAGTGAGTGGGTGGGTGGGTGGGTGAGTGGGTTGGTGGGTGAGCGGGTGGGTGGGTGAGTGGGTTGGTGGGTGAGTGGGTGGGTGGGTGAGTGGGTTGGTGGGTGAGTGGGTTGGTGGGTGAGTGGGTGGGTGGGTGAGTGGGTTGGTGGGTGAGTGGGTGGGTGGGTGGGTGAGTGGGTGAGTGAGTGGGTGAGTGGATGGGTGGGTTTCTTGAGTGGGTGGGTGAGTGGGTGAGTGGGTGGGTGGGTGAGTGAGTGGGTGGGGGTGGGTGAGTGGGTGGGTGAGTGAGGTGAGTGGGTGCGTGAGTGGGTGGATGAGTGGGTGGGTGAGTGAGTGGGTGGGTGAGTGGGTGGGTGGGTGAGTGGGTGGGTGAGTTGGTGGGTGAGATGGTGAGTGAGTGGCTGGGTGAGTGGGTGGGTGGGTGAGTGGGTGAGTGAGTGGGTGGGTGAGTGAGTGGCTGGGTGAGTGGCTGGGTGAGTGATTGAGTGGGTGGGTGAGTGGGTGAGTGGCTGGGTGAGTGGGTGAGTGGGTGGGTGAGTGAGTGGCTGGGTGAGTGGCTGGGTGAGTGATTGAGTGGGTGGGTGAGTGGGTGGGTGAGTGGGCGAGTGGGTGGGCGAGTGGGTGGGCGAGTGGCTGGGTGAGTGGCTGGGTGGGTGGGTGGGATAGTGACGGCCACCTTGCACTGCAGGGCAATGGCTTTGCTGTTTCCCAGGTCGCGTTGGCAGTGAGCGCAGTGCCGGCGTGAGGTGGCGGTGGCCACATCCACAGCACCGTTCGTCTGAGACACAAGGACAAAGATCCCCCGTGTAGCCTCAACAGACTGTAGGGGCAAGTGATGTTAGCGAGCAGCACCTATGAAGGCCGGAACGGTACACGAGGGGGTGGGTGGCCAGCACCACGCCCGACCGCCTTTGTCTCCCCAGTGGCGATGTTTACACACCGCGACACCAGATACTCATTTGAGGCTGAGTCGACCTAGAGGAGGCCCTGGACCGGTTCAGATCATCGTCACTGGGTGTTGGCCGTGAGCGAGAAACCACTACACTACCTCTCCCCACTGAGACACACACACAGACACACAGACACACACAGACACACACAGACACACACAACAGCAACCTCCATTAGCGACTAAGTGGCGGTGACGTCACCACGACGCTTGTGCCAGGCCATGTGCACCTTGAGGCCACGTGAAGTGTCGAACGCCCGCTGGCAGGAGGTCACGGGACAGACCCAGCAGGTGCCACGGGTCGACTGACTGAGATGACCGAGATGACTGGCTGATGCACCACCTGTGCCCCCTACTGTGCCAACTTGCTGTGCTTTAGCCACCCAGCGCTCCGCTCGTTGTGAGCGTCGCTCCTCCGCCCTCCGTTGTTGTTGGAGGGCGACTGCCTCCAACTGCCCAGTAGCGTCCTTCACGAGCCTCCTCCACAGATGCCGAACTTGACACCGCTGGTACCAGTCATCGGCAAGTCCACTCAGCTAAACATCCTATTGCAACCCCATCACTCCACCTCTTCTCTAGCCCGTGTTGCACCCGTTTAGCCCCCTCTATCCAGGCCGAAAAAAAGCTGTTTAGGCATGCGGTGGTTGGGCATGCAGGCTATATGACCCAGCCAACGCAGCCTTGCCTGCCGGAGGAGCTCACCGATGGGACTTTGCCCAGATCTTTCAAGGATTTGTGAGCTCCTCACACAATCCAGCCTGGTTAAACCCAGCATAGATCGTAGGCAGGCCAGCCTAAATGTTTCCCACCGGCGAAGATGCTCCATTAGGGGGGTCCACGTTTCGCAAGCGTAGAGAAGGGAGGGAATGATTGTGGCCGAGAAGACCTGAAGCTTCGTGCGGAGCGACAGACCAGGTAGCTTCCAAACAGCGTTACGCAACCGATGAAAAGATAATGGCACTCGACTGATTTGGAGTGAGACCTCTGCTGTTAAACCGGAGCCGGTCATGAGCACACTGCCCAGATATGGGAAACTCTCCACTCTCTCCACTACTGCCCCATCGCCGATTGGGAGTTGTGGGGGTGGAGTGTCCGATGGTACAAAATACCCTGGCAGGTGCTTAGTTTTGGTGGGGCTGATGGTAAGGCCCCACCTCTTAGTGGCACACTCCAGTTTCAGCAGCAGCGTCTCCAAATCCTCCTCTGAGTGAGCAGCAATTACGAGATCATCGGCATACATAACGTGGTTGACCAACAGGGAGCCATCCCTTGATCGCACCCGGGCATCAATCAGCCTCCCATTATATCTGTACCAGATGGGAATTCCTCCGGGACAACTATTGAAGGCCTCACGAACTACGTGGTAAAAATAGATGTTAAATAATGTGGGAGCCAGAGAACATCCCTGTCGCACCCGTAGGTGTACAGGGAATGGCTCTGACTCCCGGCCAGGTAGTTTTACCCGGGCCCGCTCACCATCATGAAGGTCTTTACTGAGCATGAGCAGAGGGTCAGGGACTCCGAAAGCACGAAGAACAACCCAGAGCCTAGGCCTACTGATGGTATCATAGGCCTTGACCAGGTAAATAAAGCAGAGATGTAGGTCTTGTTAGAATTCCCTACAGCTCTGCTGTTGTAGCAGACGAACAGAAAATATGGCATCCGTGCAGGACCGCCCTTTCCTGAAACCACATTGAGGCTCCGCAAGCCTCTCCTCAGCGTGCCTAGCAAGGCGATGCTGAATAATCCTTGCCAGGACCTTTCCCGGCACACTGAGGAGTGAGATGCCCCTGTAGTTGTTACAGTCTGTGCGGTCCCCCTTCTTAAAGAGGGGGACCACCAGGGCATCGTTCCAGTCCTGCGGAACCCGTTCAGTGGTCCAGACTGTTGTTATATCATATGGGCATGCTGTGCACAAACGCCACCCTCCCTCAGCATTTCGCTTGAGAGATCATCTCTGCCCGGTGCCTTTCCTGGTCTCAGACTCTGGATTGCCTTTAGTGCTTCCTCAACAGATGGCACCTCAGCCAGCCACTCATAGAGGGTGACTTCTTCAAATATTTGAGGCACCGCAGCCTCAGCAGGGTCATCCCCACTTTGTGCTACAGTGTTTCCCATGTCGAGAGATTTCCCCTCTCCCAGGACTTCACAGAAATGCTCAGCAAATCTGCAAACCTGTTCCTGGGGTTCTGAGATTAGATCACCGTTTTTTCCCCTAATGATGGTAATAGGTGAGGCGCTGCAGGTTCATTATTTGATGGCGTTAAATAGGGATTTGTAATCGCGGGCCATTGAGGCAGACTCCATCTCCACAGCAACCCGCGACCACCACCCATCCTTGCAGCGCCTCACGGCTCTCCGAACCTCCGAGCGAAGGCTGCGGTAAGCCTCCTCATTCTCTGACGTGGGATGCTGTAGCCGATGAGAGTGGGCCTGTCGCTTTTCCTCAACTATCCTGAACACCTCCTCTGTCAGCCAGGGTCTCTGGGGAGGTCTGGACCGCGTACACAAAGCAGCCATTGCAGCTGCATGAGTCAGTTGTAAACCTTGCCCATTTACCCTCAATATCTGGAGGAGTGGGGGACGATGCCAACCCCAGCCGCAAGCGATGGTGAAATTCTCGCTTGCAACTTTCATCAGCGAGCTGAGACCAGGCCACCTTAGGTTGGACTGGGATCCTGGATGTACACCCACCACCGGAGTGGAAGAATGGCAGGCGCATCTTACAGATGACAAGTCGATGGTCAGAGGGCAGATCTTGCTTGAACCCTGCATGCATCCATGATATTGTGTGGATGTACCGATGCTGAACAGCGTGTTGGTAATTACAAGCCCATGGGCTGTACAAAAATCTAGCAGCCTCCTGCCGTTGTTATTGAGCTGATCTGGCCCATGCCTTCCAATCACTCCAGACCAGGTGCCAGCATCGTGACCAACTCGGGCATTGAAGTCACCCAAAAAGATGACTATCCCGAGGGGCCACTTTAGCCAGCACCTGTGACAGGAGGTCATAGAAGGCATCTGACTCATCAGCCTTGCCTGCATCCCTCCACGGTGGGGGCATAAGTAACCATGACCACCACTCCTCGCCTCCGGTTGATGGGAAGGCGAGCCCAAAGTAGCCTGGGGCTTACAGCTTCCCACACCTCACCGCCACGCTCCCACTCCCCATTCATTCTTTTGTTCAGAAGAAGAGCCACTCCCTGTTGTTTGGCAGTCTCCTGCCCCGAGTTGAGGACTGTCCACCCCTCATGGTGGAAGGAGCCAGAGCCGGTCCACCAGACCTCCTGAATGCCGCAGAGATCCAGGCGGTACCAGCTCCCGACAGAGGAGTGGCAGCCTCTCCTCCGCAGCGAGCGTTCAAACATTCCACGTGGCCATCCGTAGTGGCTTTTCGCTGTTTCTGGAGGAGCCCCAAGGGTAAAAATTCAATCTCGTGGCTCCACCAAATGGGGTTTGGCCAGAAGACGTCATAGACACCTGTCCCCCCGGGGCCTACGGCACAAGCTTATTAATTAGATATTTTAGTTTTCGTGGTTTAGTGGTAATTTATTGAAGGTGGAGGGGTTACCAGCCCCTCGCACCCGTCCAGAGCCCCCATTTAGCCGCTGTGGTGGCTACAAATGCCCCGAGGGGAAAGGCCAATTGGAATTGGCCCTCCCCCCACAGCACACACACATAGGCACACACACAGAGACGCACAGGGAGACACACACACACACAGGCACACACACAGAGACACACACACACACAGAGACACACACACAGAGACGCACAGGGAGACACACAGGGAGACACACAAACACACAGGCACACACACAGAGACACACAGGCACACACAAGCACACACACAGAGACGCACAGGGAGACACACACACACACAGACAAGATGAAGACTCCTCACTGTGTAGCCTGTAACAGACTATTGGAGAAAGTGCTGTTGGCGAGTAGCAGCACTTATGAAGGCCGGCCCTGTGACCAGCCCCACGCCCGGCCGCCTTTGTCCAACTTCCAGTAACTTTAATTCTAGATTTGAAGTTTCCGTGACTGCAAGGATCCATACTCTTTGGTTCTTTCGGTAAAGTCACGTAGGTGAAAAAATTAAAAAATTAAATAAAAAATAATAATTAAAAATATAAATAAGAATAAAAAATAAAAATAATAATTCAGTAACCTGTGAATTGGGGTGTGCGTTCAGTAACCTGTGAATTGGGGTGTGCGTTCAGTAACCTGTGACGTGGGGTGTGCGTTCAGTAATCTGTGACGTGGGGTGTGCGTTCAGTAACTTGTGACGTGGGGTGTGCGTTCAGTAACCTGTGACGTGGGGTGTGCGTTCAGCAACTTGCTGGGTCTGCGAGTCTCAGCTAGAGTTTGACCATCGTGAAAAGCGGATCATTGAGTAGTGGGGGAGGTGGATGATGATGAGGAGGAGGGGGGGGGGAGTGGAGGTTTCGCAGCTTCTCACCTTGTGGGAGTTTGGGGGTTCGTCGGAGGAGGTGGATGAGGAGGGAGGTGGAGGAGGAGGAGGAGGTGGAGGAGGAGGGAGAGGGAGGGGGATGGAGAAGCTGGAGGTGGTGGAGCTCTTGAAGAGATGAGACCCCAACTCCGTCAGACACACTCGCTGCTCGCACACACACAGACACACACGTAGAGAGATATACACACACAGAGACACGCACAGATATACACACAGAGACACACAGAGACACACAGACACACTCGCTACTCGCACACAGACACACACACACGTAGAGAGATATACACACACAGACACACACACACACAGACGTAGATATACACACAGAGACACACACAGACACACACACACACAGACGTAGATATACACACAGAGAGACACACAGAGACACACACACAGAGATACACACACAGACACACGTAGATATACACAGACAGACACACACACAGACATACACACACAGACACACACACACAGACGTAGATATACACAGAGACACACAGACACACACACACAGACATGTAGAGATACACACACACACACAGAGATAGATATACACAGAGACACACAGACACACACACACAGACATAGATATACACACAGAGACATACACAGAGACACACACACACACAGACATAGATGTACACACAGAGACATACACAGAGACACACACACACACACAGAGATATACACAGAGACACACAGACACACACACACAGACATGTAGAGATACACACACAGACATACACACACACAGAGATAGATATACACAGAGACACACACACAGATATACACACACAGAGACACACACACACATACACACACACAGACATAGATATACACACAGAGACACACACAGAGACACACACACAGACACACACACACAGACGTAGATATACACACAGAGACACACACAGAGATATACACACACAGACACACACACACACAGACGTAGATATACACACAGAGACACACACAGAGACATACACACACAGACACACACACACACAGAGACATACACAGAGACACACACACATAGATATACACACAGAGATATACACAGAGACACACAGACACACTCACTACTCTCACCCAAGAGGTGCGGGGGACGGACAACGAACTATGGGTCTCTGTGTGGTGAGTCTGTGGGTCTCTGTGTGGTGAGTCTGTGGGTCTCTGCGTGGTGAGTCTGTGGGTCTCTGCGTGGTGAGTCTGTGGGTCTCTGTGTGGTGAGTCTGTGGGTCTCTGTGTGGTGAGTCTGTGGGTCTCTGTGTGAGTGAGTCTGTGGGTCTCTGTGCGGTGAGTCTGTGGGTCTCTGTGTGGTGAGTCTGTGGGTCTCTGTGTGAGTCTGTGGGTCTCTGTGTGAGTCTGTGGGTCTCTGTGTGAGTCTGCGGGTCTCTGTGTGAGTCTACGGGTCTCTGTGTGAGTCTGTGGGTCTCTGTGTGAGTCTGTGGCTCTCTGTGTGAGTCTATGGCTCTCTGTGTGAGTCTATGGGTCTCTGTGTGAGTCTATGGGTCTCTGTGTGAGTCTGTGGGTCTCTGTGTGAGTCTGTGTGGGCGAGTCCGACTCCCACCTGTAGAGTGTGAGGCAGTTCTGTGAGCACAAGTTGTATGTATGTAACATGTATGTAACATGTATGTAGCATGTATGTAGCATGTTGTTACCTGGTAGAGGGTTAGGCAGCTCTGTGAGCACAGGTTGCGGATGGAGGAGTCGGCCATCGTGAGGTGGAACTGAGGGATGGCGTGGACCTTGCAGAAGAAGCATGCCACCTGCACACCTACACACGTGACACACGTGACACACGTGACACACACACGTGACTCACACGTGACACACACACGTGACACACGTGACACACACACGTGACACACACGTGACACACGTGACACACGTGACACACACACGTGACACACACACGTGACACACGTGACACACACACGTGACACACGTGACACACACACGTGACACACGTGACACACGTGACACACACGTGACACACGTGACACACACACACACGCAGACACACACAGACACACACACAGACACATACACAGACACACACAGACGCACACACAGACACACACACAGACACACAATAGACACAGACACACAGCGACGCACACACACGCACACAGACACACACCAGACACACACAGACACACACAGACACACACAGACACACACAAACACACACACACAGACACACATGGCACCTGGGTCTGCCCCGTGACCTCCTGCCAACTGGGCGTTCGACACTTCACGTGGCCTCAATGTGCACATGGCCTGGCACAAGCGTCGTGGTGACGTCACCGCCACTTAGTGGCGAATGGCGTGTATGCGAGTGTGTATGCGAGTGTATGTGTGTGTGTGTGTGCACATGTGTGCGTGTGTGTATGCGTGTGTGTACATGTGTGTACATGTGTGTGTGTGTGCGTGTGTACATGTGCGTGCGTGTGTGTGCGTGTGTACATGTGCGTGCGTGTGTACATGTGCGTGTGTACATGTGCGTGTGTGCGTGTGTACATGTGTATGTGTACATGTGCGTGTGTGTACATGTGTGTACATGTGTGTGTGTGCGTGTGTACATGTGTGTGTGTACATGTATGTGTGTGCGTGTGTGTACATGTGTGTGTGTGTACGTGTGCGTGTGTGTGCGTGTGCGCACATGCGTGTGTGTACATGTATGCGTGTACATGCGTGTGTGTACGTGTGTGTGTACATGTGTGTGTGTGTACGTGTGCACGTGTGCGTGTGTGTACATGTGTGCGTACGTGTGTGCGTGCGTGTGTGTACGTGTGTGTGTACATGTGTGTACGTGTGTGGACATGCGTGCGTGTGCGCGCATACATGTGTGTGTGCATGTGTGTGTGTGTGTACATGTGTGTGTACATGTGTGTGTGTGTACGTGTGTACATGTGTGTGTACGTGTGTGTGTACATGTGTGTACATGTGTGTGCGTACGTGTGTGCGTGTGTGTACGTGTGTACGTGTGTGTGTACATGTGTGTACGTGTGTGTGTGCGTGTGTACATGTGTGTACATGTGTGTGTGTGTGTGCGTACGTGTGTGCGTGTGTACGTGTGTACGTGTGTGTGTACATGTGTGTACGTGTGTACGTGTGTGTGTACATGTGTGTACGTGTGTGTGTGCGTGTGTACATGTGTGTACATGTGTGTGTGTGTGTGCACATGCGTGTGTGTACATGTGTGCGTGTACATGCGTGTGTGTAGGTGTGTGTGTACATGTGTGTGTGTGTACGTGTGCACGTGTATGTGTGTACATGTGTGTACGTGTGTGTACATGCGTGCGTGTGCCTGCATACATGTGTGTGTACATGTGTGTGTGTGTGTGCGTGCGTGTGCGTGTGTACATGTGTGTGTACATGTGTGTGTGTGTGTGCGTGTGTACATGTGTGTACATGTGTACGTGTGTGTACGTGTGTGTGTGTACATGTGTGTACATGTGTACATGCGTGTGCGCGTATACCAGCAGCGCTGATGGTGCGAAGGCGGAACGAGAGTTGGCAGGAGTCGCTGCAGAAGTGCCGTGGGCTCTGCCCGTCCACGCTCAGCTCCGCCATGTCGGCGCGGATGCACCGCGCCTGGCACCAGGCACAGCTCTCCAGCCGGCCCTGGGCCTACACAAAGACAAAGGTCACCCAGGCGGAGCTGCCACAGACGCTTGGGAGGCAAGTGGCCGATGAAGAGGCCACCACCGCGCCCGGCCGCCTTGGTCTCCCCCAGCGGCAATGTCTAACACACCAGCGCAGGCACGGGGCTGGCATTTGAGGCCGAGTAGATCTAGGGGAGGGGCCACGCTAACCGCTGCACCACCGCTCCCCCTACTGCACGCACACACACACACGTACGTACGTACGAACACGCACACGTACGAACACACACACGTACGAACACACACACGTACGAACACACACACGAACACACACGCACGAACACGTACGTACGAACACACACACGTACGAACACACACACACGTACGAACACACACACACGTACGAACACACACACACGTACGAACACACACACACGTACGAACACACACACGTACGTACGTACGAACACGCACACGTACGTACGAACACACACACGTACGAACACACACACGTACGTAAGCACGAACACGCACGTACGTACGTACGAACACACACACGTACGAACACACACACGTACGAACACACACACACGTACGTACGTACGAACACACACACGTACGAACACACACACGTACGAACACACACACACACGTACGAACACACACACACGAACACACACGCACGAACACACACACGTACGTACGAACACACACACACGTACGAACACACACACACATGTACGTACGCACGAATACACACACACACGAACACACACACGTACGTACGAACACACACGTACGCACACACACACACGTACGTACGCACGAACACACACACACACGAACACATACACGCACGTACGAACACACGCACGCACGAACACACACGCACGAACACACACGTACGAACACACACACATACCAACACACACACACACACGTACGTACGAACACACACACACACACGTACGTACAGAGAGCGAGTGAGAGCGTGGCGATGCACGAGGGGAGGAGAAGGCGAGAGAGGGGAGAGAGCGACAGAGGGAGCGGTCCCGCTCGACGCACACTCACTTGTCTGTACGAGTCTCTGCACAGCAGCGAACAGAAGCCGTGCGGCTGCGTGTCGGCGTGCGATGCAGCGGCACCGGCTGCACCGGCTGCACCGGCTGCGGTGTGCACAGCCGGCTTGCCACACCAGGTGCAGCACGGCTTGCCCAGCAGCGTCGATGCACAAGCGTCGCTGCACACGGACGTAGCAGGGGCGCCGGGCTGCTGCGGACGCACGGAGCGTAGCACCTGCCCAGCAGAGCGGAGGGGGGGGTCAAAATGGGTCTCTGTGTGAGTCTGTGGGTCTCTGTGAGTCTGTGGGTCTCTGTGTGAGTCTGTGGGTCTCTGTGTGAGTCTGTGGGTCTCTGTGTGAGTCTGTGGGTCTCTGTGAGTCTGTGGGTCTCTGTGAGTCTGTGGGTCTCTGTGAGTCTGTGGGTCTCTGTGTGAGTCTGTGGGTCTCTGTGTGAGTCTGTGGGTCTCTGTGTGAGTGTGAGTCTATGGGTCTCTGCGTGAGTCTGTGGGTCTCTGTGAGAGTCTGTGGGTCTCTGTGTGAGTCTGTGGGTCTCTGTGTGAGTCTGTGGGTCTCTGTGTGAGTCTGTGGGTCTCTGTGTGAGTCTGTGGGTCTCTGTGAGTCTGTGGGTCTCTGTGTGAGTCTGTGGGTCTCTGTGTGAGTCTGTGGGTCTCTGTGTGAGTCTGTGGGTCTCTGTGAGTCTGTGGGTCTCTGTGAGTCTGTGGGTCTCTGTGTGAGTCTGTGGGTCTCTGTGTGAGTCTGTGGGTCTCTGCGTGAGTCTGTGGGTCTCTGCGTGAGTCTGTGGGTCTCTGTGTGAGTCTGTGGGTCTCTGCGTGAGTCTGTGGGTCTCTGTGAGTCTGTGGGTCTCTACGTGAGTTTGTGGGTCTCTGTGAGTCTGTGGGTCTCTGCGTGAGTCTGTGGTCTCTGTGTGAGTCTGTGGGTCTCTGTGTGAGTCTGTGGGTCTCTGTGTGAGTCTGTGGGTCTCTGTGTGAGTCTGTGGGTCTCTGTGAGTCTGTGGGTCTCTGTGTGAGTCTGTGGGTCTCTGTGTGAGTGTGAGTCTGTGGGTCTCTGTGTGAGTGTGAGTCTGTGGGTCTCTGTGTGAGTCTGTGGGTCTCTGTGTGAGTCTGTGGGTCTCTGTGTGAGTCTGTGGGTCTCTGTGAGTCTGTGGGTCTCTGTGTGAGTCTGTGGGTCTCTGTGTGAGTCTGTGGGTCTCTGTGTGAGTGTGAGTCTATGGGTCTCTGCGTGAGTCTGTGGGTCTCTGTGAGAGTCTGTGGGTCTCTGTGAGAGTCTGTGGGTCTCTGTGTGAGTCTGTGGGTCTCTGTGGTGAGTCTGTGGGTCTCTGTGGTGAGTCTGTGGGTCTCTGCGTGAGTCTGTGGGTCTCTGTGTGAGTCTGTGGGTCTCTGTGTGAGTCTGTGGGTCTCTGCGTGAGTCTGTGGGTCTCTGCGTGAGTCTGTGGGTCTTTGTGTGAGTCACTCACACTCACTCACTCACTCACACACATTCACACTCACACACTCTCACACACTCGCACACTCACACTCACTCACACACTCGCACACTCACACTCACACACTCACTCACACACACTCACACTCACACACATTCACACTCACACACTCTCACACACTCGCACACGCACTCACTCACACACACACACTCAGACTCACTCACTCACACGCTCACTCTCAGAATCACTCACACACTCACTCACTCTCAGACTCACTCACTCACACGCTCACTCTCAGAATCACTCACACACTCACTCACTCTCAGACTCACTCACTCACACACACACTCACACACTCACTCACACACTCACACACTCACTCACACACTCACACACTCACACACACTCACTCACACACTCACACACTCACCCACACACTCACCCACACACTCACTCACTCACTCTCACACACACTCATACACTCTCACACACACTCACACACACTCACTCACACACTCACTCACCCAGTCACTCACCCACTCACCCACCCACTCATCCACCCACTCATCCAGTCACTCACCCACTCACTCACACACTCACCCACTCACCCACTCACACACTCACTCACCAACTCACTCACACTTTATAATAACCAGCACTGCTTACCGCTCTCACTTCTCCACACACAGAGCACTGGGCCATGGGGGCGGAGCCTCCAGTCAAGGGGGCGTGGCCAGCGACCAATAGGGCGGAGCCTCCAGTCAAGGGGGCGTGGCCACCGACCAAGAGGGCGGAGCCTCCAGTCAAGGGGGCGTGGCCACCGACCAAGAGGGCGGGGCCTCCGGTCCCGGGGGCGTGCCCACCGACCAATAGGGCAGAGCCTCCGGTCCCGGGGGCGTGGCCAGCGACCAAGAGGGCGGAGCCTCCGGTCCCGGGGGCGTGGCCACCGACCAATAGGGCGGAGCCTCCGGTTAAGGGGGCGTGGCCATCCGTCTCGGGGGCGGAGCCGGAGACGGAGTGGGCGGAGCCAGAGACGGAGTGGGCGGAGTCAGAGACGGAGTGGGCGGGGCCAGAGACGGAGTGGGCGGAGCCGGAGACGGAGTGGGCGGAGCCAGAGACGGAGTGGGCGGAGTCGGAGGCGGAGTGGGCGGAGTCGGAGGCGGCCTTGGGGGCGAGTCCTACGGCTCGCTTGGGCGCGATTGGCCGGATGGCCGTGGGGTTGGGGCTGCGCTCGTGGGCCGCGAGGCACGGGGTGGAGCAGAACTCGAGGAAGCGGTCCCCGTCCTCGCGGGAGATGGAGCGGCGAGAGTTCAGCATGTCCCTGTGGGACAGAGACAGAGACACAGAGACACGGTGAGACAGAGACAGACACGGTGAGACACAGAGACACGGTGAGACAGAGACAGACACGGTGAGAGACAGAGACACAGTGAGAC